ATGCTTGTGTGGAGGTGGTGAGTGCTTGGAGATCTGCTTTTGACTTCCCAGGGCTGCTTCAGCTGTAGGAACTCAAGGGCAAGGAACAGAGCTGCCACTCACCGAGGCCTGCGACAGCAGCAGGCACCTTGCACCCCTGCAGGGGCCAGGCTCAGCTAACTGGAAAGATCAGTGGGGAATTCATTTACCGCTTTCTATTTTACTATCTGCATAAAACGGCCTGGAAGCTAAAAGAGTTAATTATTTTCCTCTCAATACTTTTCTTCTCCTTTTCCACTTGGTTAGGCCTGGCTCTGATAGCAGATCTTTTTATTGGTTTTAAATGATGTACAGCAGTGAATTATTACCCCAGTAGATACGAGTGAGTGATAGAGAAGGTAGCGGCCAAACAGCACGTGAAGGAATAACCGTTCCCGTGCTTTAGCTTCGCTCGCCAGCTTCATTCTGTTGAAAGCAGCTTCTTGCAATTACAGATTCCACACCAATCTTTTTTTCCTTTCTCTCTTATAATTTTACAGTTGGTGGTGGATTCCCTGGCTAGTTACATGCCTGTGAAACTGCAGAAAGCCAGAGGGCTTGTCAGTAATACAGTGTGTTAGCATGAACAGTGCAGTAAAAATTCATAATGTGATGAGTCAGTTTGATTCTGTTTTTTACAGAGCTGCATTTCCCTGTCCATCCAATTTTATTCTGTTGAGTTTAGAGGCTTTCGCTTAAATGACGGTTCTTTTTATAAACTTCAAAGTCATCCTGAGGTTAAGTTCTGTCTCACTGAGGAGCTCTTCTGAAAGAGTCTGGCTAACCAATGTGAAAGTGCCTGGACCACCTCCCTATATTTTTTGGACTGCTACAGCTAAATCTTGGCAGAGTGTTTTTTTTTTAAAAAAAAAAAAAAAAAAAGAAGCCCAGCAATCTGGTCTGATTTTGCCCTTTTTTCCTGGTGCAGGTTGGAGGCAACACGTGCTAGATCGTTGGAGGGAGGAAAACCTCCTATGGGCAGAGGTTAAACACTACAGCTTGTAGCTTAGGCTTGAATGCCAAGGCTTATGCACGCAGCAGAGCTTTTCAGGAACCAAAAATACATTTTTACTCATGCCGTTTCTTTGATTGCTAAAGGGTCGTTTGTGATGCTGAGTGTGAATTCGAAAGGGAAGGTCAGAGCACACAAAACAACTCTTCTGGTTGAGATTTAGTGCCTCTTTTTGTGTTCAGTTAAGCTGATGAGCAGATAAAATAGAGTGAAGTCACAAGATGGGAAGCACAGTGCTTGTAAGAGGTGGAGTTAGTGGAAACTGAAGTCCCATAAGTTGCATCTTGTCTGGTAAAAGCGTGACTTTATCCTGTAGCAGACAAGGCTGACTGGAAGGGGCTGTTTCAAAAAGGGTAAATCCCTCTCTGTGGCTAAGATCCTAACTCTTAGCTGATCTTGATTTCAGAGTAAATTTGTAGGGTGGATGCTTCACCCGACTTGAGCTTATTTCTCATTCAGTAGATACCAGAATAGGTCTTAAGGTATTGTGGTGATAACCACTGTGGTGATCGTCTTTGGTCACTGCTCAGCCAGGCTAGCTGAAGTCAGTCAGCGATGGGTGAACTCGATGAATTCCTCTCCCCTGTTTTCAGAATAGCAGAAGTTAGAGAGTCATCTCACCTCTTTGGAGCTCGCTCCCCCTTCCCTCCTCTCCCCCCAAGGGAAAAAGATTAATCAGAACCGCTAAGCATGACAGAAATAACCAGGAGACTTTATAGCAATAAGTATATGTTAACAGACAGTAGGAATCTATTATTATGGCATTAGAATTCAGCTCTATTTTAGTAATCTATTAAAACAGAAATGGTTGGCTTGTTGGTTAATTAAGCAAAAAAGCATGAGAGGGAGCATGATTATCTGGAGTTGATCACTTGTGTTTATACAAGCCGTGTGCCTGTGGCATAGTGTCAGATTTATTGTAATATTGTTGTGTAGAGTTTTGTAGGGAGAAGATGGAGCACAGTTCACTACCTCTGGATTTGTAATTTTTAATTGCATTATTGATTCCCCTGAGACGTATGTATTCTACAAAAATTCAAGAAAGGAAAATGTAGGCCTAACAGGTTTTCTTGACTTTGTTGAATTGCCTTGTAGGTATGCGGATTTATAGAGGTGACTGTGTTATCCAGGAAAGTTATAGTGACCTTTTTATTGATTAAAAAATTATATTTTTGTTGATTTAGATTTTTAGAAGGAGGAGGTTGTTTTCTCGAATTGGTTTAGGTCAGTAATTTAGTGCAAAGTAGGTAATAATGATACAGCCATGGAAATATGATAATAAGTATTGATGGGAGTTTGATTAAAGTGATTTGTGTAGCCAATAAAAATTTTATTTTAACCTGTTAAACTGATTAAGATATGCTTGCAGAATGAATATGTAAAGTAAATTTTGTTTGAGGTGTGGTTCCTTGGAGTTTTCTTCAGGTTATGTCTGGACACTGTCATACTCTTTCTACATTAAGCATATTCCTTCTGTTTTAAGCAAGGTAAACAACTGTTTTGATTTTAAAAATAAAACATTTGAACTTCATCTCTTGATTCTTAAGCAAATCTCTGACTTGGAAGTAATTTGAGAGTGACTGGTTTAAAAAACAAAAACAAAACAACCTAACAAACCTAGCAAAAGTAGCAGCTGTTTGCTAGGGCCTGATTAATTTTAGCCTACTCTGACAATCATCAGCATCATCTTTTCGTTTGTAAATTTTGAATTGCTCCAGTCGTTGGCTAACGAAGCATAGCATAGCAGACGATAGAAGGATCTGTGTGCTTTGTAACTTAATAGTAGAAGTAATTTGTAGCTAATTTTGCTTGTGGAGAACAGCATGGGCAGTGTGGCATTGTTCTAGACGTTATACAAAGAAACGGTTGAGCTCATAGGCTCGTACCAGGGTGAGCTATAAGAAGAGGATGACATACTTGATTGGGAGTAAGAGGGCAAGGTAACATTTATTTGAATGCATTTTCCAGGAAAGGCAGTTTAAGTTATCCTCTGTTATGCTGCGATGTTTGTCATTAGCGTTTTCTTATTTATTTGTAGGACTTCCAAGAGTGTGGCCAAATCGTCCTGGGAGTGAAGTTTAGCGTTGGTAAATGAAGCCGCCAGAGTAATGCTAATGTTGCAGAGTAGGCTGTAGAGATAAGCAGGAGAAAAGGCCATAATATAGCAAGGGCAATTAAATTATGGACAATAATAAGGTTCATGTTGTGATACATGTAATTACGTTTGTTAAATATCACGGTCTGATATATTAGGTTTGAGGCTATGACAGAGAGGGAATTTATGTTCTTGAGTTTTCATGCATCACTGAGAGCTCTTTATTCCCTTTGGACCTCAATTATAAAAATAAATCTATATAATTGCCACCGGAAGAATGCTCCTGGAACCACTTAGGAGGAGTTGTCCAAGGTTCTGTAAATGCAATTCAGTCACGAGAAATGTGGAGAATAGTCTTTCGCAGACCCAACTCGGTGGTTTCACTTAGGCCACATCCTCAGCTGAGCCAGTTTGGCTTTTTTTCTGGGTGCTTCATGGGAAGTGCACTGCCTTGGTGCAGAACTTCAGCTGGTGTAAAGCTGCTATATAGAACACTCGTTATGAAAAGCTTCTCTTAGTGCTACACTTACCAGCCATGATGTACTGCAGAATTATGGCCAACTTCCCTAATGAAGAGGAACTTAAAACTTGGTGTTAACCTCTGACCTGGGCTGCTTTTTACCCCAAATGAACAGGGAAAAAAAAAAGAGTACAAGAAACAGTCTTGATTTTTTTTTTTTGTTTGCTTGTATGTTTTCAGACGGTACATAATGCAGCATTCATTTGCACTAATGGCTGGGAAGCTTATAGCAAATGCCTGAATTTTGTCAATTAGCAGGCTAAGTGCTTAAGTCCAATAAACAGGAAAAGACACTGTATCAGTAAACGTAGTTGTTCATTTATTTTGACACATTTTAATTTAGAGTGATGTATTAACAATAATAACTTCTCAGCCTTCTAGTAAATGTGCTCTTATATATTTTGTAAAAAATACTGCTGGGTAAGTAATATGGAGTCTGTTTTCTCAGTAGCCAAGCACTCTTACTGATACAGCTCTGTTGTGCTAAATCTTTGTTGCGAAGTGCCTGGGGTTTATCAGGTCTACCCAAAAGCAAAGAAAGAAATAGCAAGGGTTGATTGTGTTTCAGTGAATAAAGGAGCCATTTTTGTTTGACTCGCTCCTAGTGTAGCTGTAATTGCCTACTCCGTATTTTGTTTACTCTGATGTGCGTATTCAGGAGAAATGGGAGCAATAACACTCTCTAGGACATGAAAAGAATATATACATATCCGTATATAATGACCCCACGGGGAGCCAGGGCCCTTGGTGTCACTGAACACCCAAGGCTCCCATGTAGTCAGTTAAAAATGGCATGACGAGTCACGAGGCATTTAGTAATAGTACTGCTGTATATTTTCTAGCCCCGTAAATCTGTGACGGATCTTGGTATCAGTACCCTGTAGAGAAGAGGATTTGGGGCATGTACCTATTTTATGACTTGCTTAAGGTCATTGAATTAGTCAGTTTTAGTCAGAGATAGGAGTGAGTAGGTTTCTCTGTTTTAATCAGCTTAAGGTTAATACACTGTAAGATGCTCCGTTGACCACTGAGATTTGTTGAAAAAGCTCTCTGGACAAGGCCTTGGCTAGTGAACAGTCTCTGTTTCAGTTTTCTGTAGATACTCCTTCTCTTCTTCCCCTTGGTATACTTAATCTGTTGAAGAAATGTACTTTAACTGCTGTAGCGTCTTGTTGATAAAAGGGAGGAGTTGATCAAAACAGGCTCCTTCTGCAGAATTTATCCATTAAGTTACTCTCACCTGCCATAATGGAAGGTGGAAGTGGAAATGGAGAGATAAATCCAGGTTTTGCTGTTCAGGCTGAAGCTATCCTTCAGGAGGGAAGCACAGAAAACAGGTAATTTGCTGTCAGTTGAGACACAAGAACAAAACACTTTAATTTTTTGTTTCCTGGATGAGAAAATTCTGCAAACACTTGATATCTTTTCTTTCGTCTGAGGAAGTGTGACTGTTTTAGACACTGAGGCTACTGAAACTGCATCAGGCTACTTGTGTGAGGCTACTGAAACTGCGTAAGAACGACGTTGTCTCTTTCTACGTAGTTTGCACTTGAAATGTCACAGAATCACAGAATGGTTGAGGTTGGAAGGGACCTCTGGAGATCATCTAGTCCAACCTCCCTTCTCAAGCGGGGTCCTCTAGAGCATATTTCCCAGGATCGCATCCAGACGGGTTTTGGATATCTCCAGCGAAGGAGACTCCACAAGCTCTCTGGGAGTTTTTTTTTCAACAAATAACTTCATCCTGAATTTTTCATGCACATGCAGTTATTGGCTGTGGTTCTTATTTGGAAAAGGATTAAATACATTTAAAAGCTGGATCTTGCTTATTGATGAAAGCAATAACTCAGTTTACCGGATATGATTCGTTATGGCTCTGTAACCTCTTTGAACCAGGTGCCAGGAGCAAGACTGCCCTGATTACGAATAACATCAGTGCAGAGAGCTTGTGGGCTGGACTGGTGACCCGTCGGTTTCATTGCAGCAGGGGTGTGACCTTACGCTGTGCTCCTAGGGACGGCTGGCTCTAAGCTGTGTCTCAGAGACCTTACACTGGCTCCTGGCAGTCACCTCTCTAGTGCCAGCAAATGGGTGAAGCTGTCCTGCTGTGGGTTGTCAAATTACTGATTTTATTAGGTGGTCAGTTAAAACTAGGAGGAGGAGATAAGGAAGAAGCTCTATCTTCCAGATCTAAATGAAGTATAGTTCCATGTTTGAGCCCACAGTAGGGTTAGGCTCTGCTCAGGATTTCTGCTTATGTAGCTGGGTTACTTAAAAGCAGCCGATCTTCTCAGATATCTCCAATGCCGAGTTTAAAAAGGGGGTGGGGAGGGGGAGAGGTAATGAATGGAATAAATCCTAGCTTGGATCTTGCCCGTATCCAAAAACACAGAGTGTATTAGAATCACACATATTCAAAACCGCAGGTTCAACTTGTTATGATTGTAACAATCCTGTATCTAAAAGCTTTTGGGGAGTTCTAGCTGCAGGCTAAGGAAATATGAGAAAGCTATTCAGATCTTCACCGTAGCTGTGGAAAGAAGTTAGCTCGCTCTTCCTTTGTGTCCCAGAGCTAGGATTATGGAGTGAGGAGCCAGGCCGTGGAGCAGATGAAAGATGGGAGAAATCATGTCTGTGAAAGATGTGAAAGGGAGAAGAAGCAGCTGGAACAGATAAAGGAGGATGAGAGGAGCGAGAGAGGGAGTTTGAAGTGTGTATTTTAGAAAGCTCTGGTCAGCATATTGGCCAAGGAGGACCTTTTTGACAGGGGTATTTAACCATGCTAGAGGGTGGCAGTGTGCTTATTAGCGAGGCAGAGGAGGAGAGTGCAGAGGCAGTGATCCATCCAGAGATAGCAGAGGGAGGCAAGGACAGGAGTTCTGCCTGGGTGATTCGGACAGCTATTACAGAGGGGCATGTCAGACTTGCCGAGGTGACTTTATCAGAGCTACTTCCTCTGGAGGTAATGACTTCTGCTTACAGCAAGAACGCAATCACAATAGGAACAACTTGTGTGTGTCATAAAATTAAGCTGTAAAGGAGATGGCAAAAAGGACTGTGACATTTGAAGAAGGAAGATTCTGCAGCAGTTTCTTGAGGAAGTTGCAAAAAAAAACCCCAAACCTTCAGTTGTCTATAAAGATGGTGTATATTTCAGTTCTGCAGATGTTTTTAATTGCTGTGTGATTAAAAAAATATAATTTTTCAACCTCGACATGTTTGTTTGTTTGTTTGTTTTTCCTTTTTAGCTCTATCGTCCACTTCTGAAGAGATATGCAGAGCTTGAGCAGAAGGTCATCTACAACCCAACCTCCTCTTGTCTGGTGAAGTAACAAGGAAACAGCTTATAAGTCGGCTGAAGAATGAACTGCCAAGGAGAAGATCACAAGAGATTTGATCAGAATTTACTGGAGTTGTTTAAAGCATTCTGTTGCATTTCGTGTCTTAAAATAGTATGACGAATAATTTTTAAATGGCTGTTTTCGAGGATGTTGGAGAAAAAGTTACTTTAAGATTGAAAATCTGATTAAATAGCATCACATCATTCTGTGCGTCTTTGACGTAAACTTTTCTTGGGTACTCTTCAGGACGTGCTTGGTGTTTTGGAATAGCTGGAGTCAGGTACATTGTATATTCGAATCTCTATATCCGTCTCTACCAGTTTCAATTCCAAGTGCTTAGCATACTGGCCTCTCTACATACCTATTTAGTACAGTATCTTGATTCTGCAATCTCTCCCCCTTGAATCTTTTGAAACTATCTTTCTCCGTGTCTGTAATTTTTCTATGTTTCCTTACCTACATAAAATCCACAGAAAGCATAAGCATACTGACTTAATCCCATCCCTTCAGAGATATGTGATGTAGAGGCTGATTAAAGTTTATAAATACTCAGTGGAATCCTCAAAGAAGGGGAATTTTTGTTACATGCCATTCTGGAAAATCTGTTGTATGATGAAACATGATATATTTGGGTTGTCTGAGTCCAGGAAGGCAGAGATTCTTGTAGATAGGCTGAATTTGGTCTGTGTGATACAGAAACTGTGGCACGGTATTTTACCTACTGTTAGTTTTGTAAAAAAAGGAGAAAAAGGGAAGTGTAGAAAACGTTGCACAATGTTTCTCTCTGTAGCAGAAAGCAGAGAGTCAGCTCCATCTGCACTGGTTTAGGGTAATACTGTTTTCCTTCCCTCCTTCAGGTATTATGGCCATGAAATTCTTTGTTTCACGCCTAGTGCGAGTGCAGAAATAGGACTCTCCTCCCAACAGGGCGTGAAGGTCACTGGTTATTTATACCACCAATATGCCATTTCTTTCTTGCAGATGCTGAACAAAATTGGTGACTGTCTTGCTCTGATGCTACTCTTCCACTTCAAATGTTTTTAGTCTAGATTAAGTAGATGTAGCTGAGACAATCTGAGATAAAATACAAACCAGGAGATTGTTCAGCAGAGATGAGCAGGAGTCACAGAATTTGAACAAACATCCTAAACCACCGTGTGCAAGTAGGAACTCTTTATTGCACCATTCTACCGTGGCAGTGTTTTTCCCTTAGGATAAGACTTCTGCTGGGAGTAAATTGGGCTTATTTAATAAAAGTGACTGGAACCTTTCTTCAGCTCTTGTAGAAGTCGGAATATGCCTCGGGAAGAAGTCGGGGAACTGCAGGAAATGAGTAGAGGATCTCTTTACTGAGTTTTTGAGCTCTGCCTTGGAGAAGTGGATTATGTCCCTACCTGAGGTGGGTGACTCAAATTTATATTCTTCATATTACAGTGGTCTAGGAGCACTTGCAGTCACTGTTGCATCTCCGCTGTGAGGGTGGGAAACCTTTGCAGAGACTCACCTGAGGAGCAGCAGGGGGAATGGGCATGTTCCTCCTTTGCACTTCCTTTTGCACTGAAGTGCTTCGTTTGCGAGTATGAACAGTGCCTTTTTTTGTTCACAACTGAATAATTATAACTTCTCTTTATATTAGCAAGATTACTCAGCAAGGTCAAGCATTACGTTTCCAGGTTTCTAAAGGAAGCTGCTTTTGAGCAATTGCTTTAAAAGGTGGCATTATAAATACACATTTGTCTTTTTTATGTGGTTATTATTCTGGGTCCCAAGGTACAGTGCTCACACGTATAACACTTCTCACAGGCCTCCACCTGCAGCAGTCGTCTTGTCATTGAGCAAGCCTGTAGAGAGGTGCAGAAGAATTAAAACAAATGCAACTTAAGCAGCATTGCCATCAGTAGTCTTTCGCTCTGTTTGATTACTAGTTTGGCATCGGGGCTAACCTATATAAGGAAGGGTTTCAGAGAGGCCTTTTAAGTGTACTGGGTTTTAGTGACAATTTCCTGAGTAGTTTGATTGGCTTATTAGAGTGAGAGGACTCATGCCTCGTACAGCTTTGTGGCTTAGTTATTTGCCTGTGAAATGGGCGAATCAGGGTCAATCCCTTACTCAGCTTAAGAAGCTTAAAGCTCATGTTTTCCAGCTTGTAGCACAGTGCCATTAGCCACAGGGGCATTTTTCGATAGCCGGAACGTTTCTAACCAGATCATTGGCTCCAAATGGAGCGTTGGGGGTGTCAGTGGGGTATTGCTCTGAATGGAGCAGCTAACTTCGAGGCCCGAGTGCTTCTAACTGTACAAGGCTACATTGCCCATCCAGCCTTGCCATGCCACGTTGGGCTGGCTTGGGGCTCTCTGAGCTGTGCTTCACTGTGTGGTGTAGACGTGTCCCATGTCAGCATTAAAATGCTGTTTCCTCGGGGTAAGTGATGCACTGTGCGGTTGGTGCAGGAGTCCCTGAGAAAGGAGTCAGAGGCAAGACTGTGAAAGGCCGGGATTTGAGCACCACTGAGTTATAGTATTGCTGTGGTGATGGGTTTATTAGGGCTGGCCTCTGAGGAATGGTGTCTGGAGTATAAGAATTTATAGACAAGCTCTTTTTTTTTTTTTTCCCCCCAGCTCACCAAAGTTGCACATGTTCACTGACTAGTGTCAGATAGAATAAGACTCAATAAATCTCCCCCTAGAAAAGTGTTTTGGAGAAATGCTGCTGTAAGACTCCACCTCTCTTTTTTTTTTTTTTTTTTTTTTTCCTTTCCCAGGAATGCACATTAGCCTGCCAAGGAACTGCTGGTTTCTTGCTGTTACATGTGCAACCCTGTAAAAAGGCCCCCACTGATGGAAGGATCTGGTGCCCTTTGGTTTCCAAGTCATGCTTGTTTTCTTGCCAGCTTGTCTACCTTACGTTCTTCTGGCTTCTCGTTGAACAACGCTGGTTGTGTGGAGTAAAAAAAATGGTTAGAGTTAATTAATGTCTTTGCTGACATGTATCTAAAGGCAAGCTACCACCTTCTACCTCAGCATATTTAACTGAGGTTGATTTCCCCTGCCCCAGTGACTTTGCCATTCTTTATTCTGACCAACGTGGTATTGTTGCCTTGTCTACAAGGAAGGCTGGCTTCTGCAATGAAAGACCTGCTGAGCAATATTCCCCCTCTAGACAAATCTGCTGCAATTTGCGTAGAAGAAGGAAGTAGTTCACTGCTGCCCACCTGGCACCTGCTGTCCCACACCAGCAAAGCCAGTCAAGGTGGCAGCTGGATCTTGGCCAAATCCAGGCAGCTCCCCTGCCTCGAGGGTCCTGCAGCCTCGTCCATCCATCCCAGCTGCGCTGGATTCATCCACAAGCTCTTGCTGTACTGTGACCCAGAGAAAAAGAGTTTTCTTTGCAGCCTAAAGGCTTTTGCAAGGCATCAGGAGACAAATAGAAAAAAAGATGTTTGCTATTTCTTAAGGGACCGGTTCCAGAGAGCTGGAGCTCTGATTGAATAAGTAATGCACTGAAAAATGTCTGTGCTCTGTCTGTGCTTTAATAAGTAATTGAATTGAATACCACTGAGTGTGACCCTGGTGGGACCTTTTTTGTTTTTCAGCTTTCTTTTCCTCTGGACTTGTGGCTACCACTGCAGATCACAGAGCAGCGCACTAAAGGATGTAGATCTACAGCCACAAAAAGCCAAAGCAAAACTTTCAACACATCATTTATTTTACCACACCGTATGCAGGGTAGTGGGTGGGGGAAGAAAAGCATGACGTTTTCGAGAACTAAACTGGCTGGCATTGGTGCTGGTAATGAATAGGGGGCAAAGTTACAACCCCTCCCTGGGCAGAAGCCTGCTAATTTGGATTTTTCCTTGACCCAGCTGCTGATTTTTCATGTAACCTGTAGGATTTTGGTTTTGTTGAGATCTCAACCCTCAGTCGGATTGGGTTGACACTGGCAAACAAGTTAAACATGGGAGTAAGGATGATTAGCAAACGGATGGGCGTTGTGGCAGGCAAGTGATCCGGCAGAGAGTGTTCCCTTAAAAAGCCTTTCTAAAGACCTACTGACTGTAGTCCTGATTCCACCTGCCTTGAAATGTTAGTGCAGTGTTTTACACTTGTGTGGATTGGGTATAAAATCTTGCCCACACCAAAGGATCTTGTCTGGTTATTACTTTCTGCTTGCTTTGTGCAGGTCAAAGTGACGTGTGAGGCAGCAGAACTCAGGATGAATTTTGTTGTTGGTAGCCAGCTTCTTTCTGAAGTGTGTAAACATATCTCCTTTGACATAGATGTTTACAGTGGTTGCAGCCTCTGCTCTCCCTCCCTGCTGTGGTTACAGCCTAGATCAAGCCTCTTTGGTTAGCCTGTTTAAGTGGTCTAGCTGTAAGTCATGAAAGCTTATGTTGCAAGAATGTAGGAGTTTTAGATGTTTTTTTCCAGAGACTTGTTTTTTGTTTTCTCTCTCCTGCAGCAGATACGACCTTTCCTTGTTCTTGGTTTGCGCGGTTAACTGTTTCCCCTTCTGTGAGACGCTAAGAACTTTTCTTATGTGCTAGTGTTGAGTGAGCTTGCCTCCTGCTGAAGTCTGTTCCCAAAACTCATTTTCCTTTACTTGTTTTTCTGCTCCTCTGTTGCCTCTTAAAGTTGGCCTTGATAAATGGAATGACACGTCTGCAGTTATCCTGGACTTTTGGGAATATCTTGGCCATTGTGGGAACTCACTGATTTTGTCTTGAAGCAGATATCCTGAGGGGTGAGAGTGAGGGAACAGCTATCATTGTGTGTGGGTTTCGCTGTGATCTCTGATTTTGATCTTTGACTAAATTGCCTAATCTCTCAGCCTACCCAGCAGAGCAACTGGGGATATTATTAATTGTGTAGAATGTGTCATCCTTTAAGACCCTTGGATGACAGGCTTTTGTGTTACATTCTATGTTAAGATGCTGCTATTAATTCTGTTTTTACTGGGTAAGTTGTGTCTTAGTATTCTGTAACATATTCACCTGATCAGCCAAACAGAAGGCTTTAGTCACCTTAGATGTGGGATGTTCACCAGTGTGAACATCTGTGTCTGTCATATATGCTCTTGCTGTAACGAAAGGAGAGGACCACAAGGGAGCAGTGTTGTTGGCTGTCATTCATCTAACGGTAGCTGGCTGGAACAGAGCAGGTGAATTGTGTCCTGAGAGCCATCTCTCTGCTGAGTTCAAAGGCAG